CGGCTGTAATAGGACGGGGAAGAGTGCAGCTTTACAAGTCGCTAACGGGTCCCAGGGTAAACTTGAGACTCTTGACATATTTCTTTAGGAATCCAGAGACATAGTTAACTTTCTAGAGGATTAATTTTTCTACCTGCAAACACCAAGTTAACAGTGCGATCGTAATCTACCAAAACGGTCGTTGCTGTTCTCTTTTTTTCTCATGTAGGACGAAAAAGAAACAAGGGTACTTTTTCATAACTAGAAATGCGAATGTACCAGCCATGAATGCCAATTTGCTTTAACTCTAAAGAATATTATGCGAGATTTCTTCTTGAGATCTGCGGTGTGTTGACACTAGAGTTTCTAATGATTCCTTTTTTGGCCGCTTTGCCAAATGAGAAAAGAGAGATCAAAAATAAAATAAAAATATTTCTATTTATATGTGAAATTTCTTGATGAGTTGAGATTATGAAATTTTTACATTTCCTCTCATCCTGGTTCTCCCAGTTTCGCTAATCTCGGGAGTCAGACGCGAAAAAAAAACCCATCGAATTTGTTGGAATGATGACAGACATAGTGACCCTAGGCAAACCGGGACGTTCTTAGATGAGATGTGTAATTTTTTGTAAAATTCTGCAGTGTGATTAATTTTAAGCTTGGTCATTTCCTACCATCCTCGTACTCGCTGTTTTCCTTTTAAGACATTCGGCAAAATTCAATTAATTAAGGTTTTAAGTTGAGATAAAAAAGTCAATGTCACGAGCGGGATTCGAACCCACGACCTTCGGCTTCATTAAATTCACTATTTTTCGTACAAAAAATGAATTGAAATGAAGTACACTTCACTAAGCTCTCCCTGGCCATTTCATTTGTCGCCGAGAATCCAATCCGATTACAGACATTTGAAAAATGGCAAAAAGGAGGGAAAATTCAAAAGGTGGGGTTGAGATGGGAAGTTGGTGCCCGAGGGGATCGAAGTTACGATAGCTCAAGTGGTAGAGTAGCGGCGTATCAAGCCGAAGGTCGTGGGTTCGAATCCCGCTCGTGACATTGACTTTTTTATCTCAACTTAAAACCTTAATTAATTGAATGTTATTAATTGGTCAAGCGGACCACGAAAAATAGTGAATTGGGTAAAATGTTGACAGACAATACCAGCTAAATTTGGCAGATTAGGACATTCATAGATGATTGTGTGATTTCATGTGACGAAACACTTGTTTTCATGTGCAATAGTTTTTACTTAATTCTGCAGGTGAAACACACTAAATCTGGCTTTTGATCATCCTGGACCGCCTATTCTCTGGTTTTAACGGTCTGACGCCATGAAAAGGAATAAATCTGTCATTTTTTCGTCTTAACCGGTTGGTTTTGAACGATAATCTTCAACATCCAATATAGGTTTTGATTAGCAGTATTGACAATCATCGTATTTATCTATCCAAACCCTCCAGATCTTAAAACGAACCAAGATTTTTGGAGATCCCAAGATCTGTAAGGTTTTGTTCTGTGCTCCTTGTGATGAATTATGATTAGACCTATCAGATTTTCAGGACCTGTAATTTGGTCATAGTAAATAAGCGAAAATATCTTTGCATTGTGACAGTCAGTTTGGAAATAATAGTCTGATATGAAGCTTACAGTACGGGATCTGCGTGAAGACACAACGCACAGATGAACCACTAACATCCGAAACGCGAGAGGAAGATGATGATATGTGGTGATATCTTGATGATTGAAAACGACCGAAAGTTAATAACTAACCCCCTTAAAAAGACCAGAGCCATAAGGAAATTCCATCCTGTTAACATTACCGTCCCGCAGTGATCAAGACTGCCACAAACGGACTAGGTAGATTTGGCAAAATTTTTATAGGATTGGAAATAAAAGCAACCGTCTGGTGTTACTGATTGCAAATGTATTTCTTCAGTATTTGTTAGCAAGGCAACAATTGTTGTATTTGTAATGGAACATGCTACCTCACCCAACATGCCCTGTCTGGCCTTCAGATTACCATCTTGTCCGACCAGTGCAGAATTATTATGTTAAACCTAATAACTTCTCAGTAGATCATAGATCATATTAAAACTGCTTTGATAAGGCGGAAATAATAGTATAAACAAAATATTGATCAGTAAACTATAGTGCCATGGTTCATGGTTTATCTCCTCACTTCGTAAGTTCATATTTGAAAAGGTTGAGAGTCGTCTCGATTAGAAAGGTCACATTGACACGAATTCGACTGTTGGGAGATGGTATGGGGTCAGGGTTATAGGCCTTACATCTTCTATTGTTTTGGCTTGCCAATTTCAACGCATATTATCTAATATTTCTTTCCCAAAATAAGTAAGAACCACCTTCGGAAAGCGAAAAGCATATACAAACATGTGTATCTTGTTCTTTACCTGAGGGCTGTATGTATCACCAAGGTTGATGGTTAGGCTTCATTCTGCCCCCTTACCTTTCCACTTCTTTTGTCAATATCATCGCAGGATCATCTCTGATCCGATAAATGCATCCTACTGATATTGTTTACTCCGCCGAGCTGTTTTTCTTTTCTGGGTGCCTTATTAAAACGCCGTCTCCCTGGGTAGCGTTAAGGTTATAAGGAGTTTGAGGCATGACTTTGATTTTTCTTGTTTCTAAATTTTTGCCGACGGCAACGCTTCTTCAGGATATTTGCTAAAACTATCATTTCATAATTTCTTACGTACCTTCCAAAATAAGTGAACAGCCATGCTTTAGAATGCATTTTAGAGTATATTTTTATTTGATGATGTATGATATTTTGCTTGACTTGAAGTTCCTTTTCATAAAATTAACAAAGCAAAGAAGACTCTCAGGCGTTATATCAGGGATATAAACAGGATGGGACAAACTTCCGATTAATAATCAATGTAATAAAATTGTAGAATGTTAGAAGTTAGAAATGATAAAAAGTATCTTTCAATCTTCTCCAAAATAAGTCAAAAAAATGAACCAACACACGTGAATTTTTTCTTTTTGAGCTACTATATTAAAAAAGCACACCGTGTGACATCAGGGTTATAAGCAGGGAGAGGCAAGTTTTTGCCACAAGTGATTTCAATTAACTAGATAAATCTTTAAATTTTTTATAATCTATACTAATATTAAAAAGAGAGAAAGTTGGTTGTATAGTACAATAATAGGTAATCTCGAAACCTACTGGTCCGATGTTGATTAATTTTTATTAAACACGTTCTTTATGATCACAGAAAGGACATAGACACAGTTTTCATACGGTTTCTTCAAGATGTCCAAAAATTAACTTTAAAAAATACAAAGGCAACTATCTAGAAATGGTTTACATTAACAGAGACACACAGCATTAATTACAGTACAGATACATGCGAACTCAGCCGTAGGTACGACAACATCATAAACCCCATAAACCATTAAATTTTATTTATGTATTTCTCTTCCTTTCGTTATCGTGTATAATAATTAACTTCCTTGCCAATATTGAATAAACCCAATCCAGAAAATCTCCATTCTCGACTTTCTTTGAGTCTAAAAAACCGCCTATGATCAATACAGATTTCCCAGATTTACCTCGTTACCCGCCCTGTCACAATCATATAAAAATAGCAGAATATAAATTCACGTTTCACAATAATTTCACACTAAACAAATACGTCACCACAATTAGCACCTGTGTAGTTTATGTCCTGTGAAATACTCGGTTCAAAATTTAAAATATTTACGTCCGTGTTGTATGTTTTTCAATCAACAATGTTTTTGAATTCACCCAGGGCCTGAAGATGACCAGAATAATGGTCAAAACGTCGGCAAAAAATGAAAAAGGTGTTTCATTCCTGACCACTCCTCACGGTTTCAACAAATTAACTTAATACTTTTAAACGCTAAATATGAATCTAATGATATGCCTATAAATTAGATTTTAAAAGGCTTCAGCTATCCGGCAGTTTTAATTTTTCTGTTTTTTTACAACTGCTTACTTTGATGCACCAAGTAAAACATATACTATATTCATGTAAACAATAACGTGAAGGCAACCATTCAGTGATGGATGCCGTTATTACATTAGTGTGATGAGTGAGATGGACTCCATCCTAGGGACCGATGTGAAATAGTGAGGTTATTGCGAGGGCAGCTCTCGTCCAGTCTTCAGTGAGGATTGTTGGGTAACGTGGTGGATGACAGGTTTTTGACGAAATGGCTCAGATAATCGGATAATTTGGAATGGAACTGCTTTTGTTTTGAACAGTGAGGACTTCACAAAAGCATAACCTATATCATGAATATACCTGGGCTAATAACACATTTTCCCGAAGGATCCTATATCATGTAGATGACGGATATCGCAACATAAAAAAAGACGATCCACTTCGAAGAGTGTAACGTTCACCGAAATCAATCAGAGTGTCAATCAATCTCAGAATTCTCTTACAGCATCTAGGGTGCAGTGGGGCTTGCAAAGAATACGGTCTTTTAGAAGATGATGAGAATTTGAAAAATCCTTACAGATGCCGTGATTTCTCAATCGGTTTTTCAATTAAGAGAATCGTTTGTATTCCTTACTAAACTATCTTTCGCTGTAAGGACAATCGTATATGTGGGGTTATATTTGTGGGAAAAATGTTTTTCCCGTGGACAATTATACTCCGGTTTCTCATGAACCAAAACAATAAATCAAATTTCTGTACTTATAACAAAGTTACAATTAATTATACAAATGTTCAAAGAGTCCGGGGGGGTCGACTGCTTGTATGAAGTATGGCCTTATTGTACAAATTTTGCTGCTTTCAGTATGGGATGAGGATTATATTAAAAATCCTTATAAGTATTATACGTGAACACAATGAAAGGAATTCCCACTTTTCAGATTGATAATAAAATGCGTTTCTTAATGGATTTAAATTGATAGAAGTGCATTTAGGTGGTGATGGCCGATGTCTCGTGGGTAGTCGGGTCGGCTCGCCACCCCTCTCCGTATCGCCGAGTCGGCCGAGAACACGCGGAGTCATCAGTCTCAATCGCACTCTCCACGGGTCCGCATCGCGTAGCTGTGCTGTGAAATTTCGTTGCGGGATCAGTTGACAAAACGACGGAGAGACGCGTCATCAGGGTGAACCGAGCCGGGAAAGCCTGTGATGAGGCTGATATGCTCGCGACACGGAGCTTGACTGGGCCGCAGGAAGGTCTCGACCATTTCATCCTCCTGCCCGATTGCGTCCTCGCCATGGACAGTGCCCAGCTCAAAAGAGACCTGGCTGGTCTGCAATTCAGCCTGCACCTCCTCAGCGACGGGCCCAGTGGCAGCGTTTGGCTATGTAAGTCAGAAAAATCAAAGCGTCAAGCCATCTGGTTCCAAATGTCAAAAACCTGCCTGTCATAAACAAATTTGTCCTTACTGACACACAAAAAGGCTGATTAAGCAAGTAGCTGTTATTAGCCTGTCTGCTGCGCATGCAAAATTTGGCCCATTTTCCTATTCTCAGCTCAAGCCTCTTACCAGAAAACCAGAACTAACCTTTATCAGACAAGAATTAGTTCTTTTGTTATCATTAAACCTTAAGAAAATCCAACATAATCAAAATCTCTTAAAATGATATATTTTAAACAAAATTTTAAAGGCAATTTTAAAAAGATAAGGATTCTTCCTTTCCTAAAGACAAAGAAAATCATAGCATACCCCCGTCCACATTACCATACAACTGTTGGAATCGTTTTGAGAGGAACTTGGATAGATTTTTTCCTCCTTTCCAAAGAAAATATATTAATTAATCAAGTCGTTTAACCAAATTAATGGAAAATTAATTCAAGTCAATTAAACGGCTTGCTGGAGTGTGTCCACTAAATTGTACAGCGATAAGTGACACGTTGAATTATGAACGTATGAAACTATTTTTATGTAGATGAAATGCCCAAACGGAGATTGGTTTTAATCATTTCCTCTCTTTTCCTAGGGAAAACGGCGCGGATTGACGGACCCGATTTTCTGTCATTATGAATCAGAGATGACAAATACGTACAAGTTTATATTCTTGAAATTACCATGTCAAACCCAATATGTTTTTCTTCCTCCGGGCTATCAATTTCTCCAAGCCTGGTAACGTAAATTTTAACTTCCAACTAAAAACAATGATTCTATTAAATATTTCGCTTTTATTGGTCAGAAATCATCGAGTTTTAAATGTTTTTATAAGTCTTATGAGAGTTTTTCAACTATTTCAGTAAACAATAGTATCAAACTCCAAGTCTTATTTTAAAAATTGGCTATACGAAGATATCATTGGCGCCTTTTGAATATTCTTCATCTATTATGATAGTTCACACTTAGGGCTTATCTCGAAATTTCCTAAAATATTTTCCTCTATGCGAGCCTACAGATAATCTCTCACATAAAGAAGACATTCTTGGAAATATCTAATTCTATTTTTCAAAGTGGAACAGGTTTAATTGGGTTTTAATTACCTACATTCTTAGCAGTATGGATATAATTAAATAAAAATAGTTACCATCAGTTTGACCAAACTTATATAGGTTTTAATTACCTACATTCTTAGTAGTATGGATAGAATTAAATAAAAATAGTTACCATCTGTTTGACCATACTTATTTTCTTCGTCTAGTCTTGCTGTTTCTTCTCTTTTTAATATATTGTTTTGCTATGTTTAAATATAAAAAGAAGGAAGTTCTTTCTCTATGCGGTTTTCGATGTCATTTTTCTTCTGCTGTCAAGGCTGAAAGTAGAAGAATGTGTACGTGATCCGTTTATTAAAATAAAAAATAACTGTTCCTTCTTCCATGTGTGTGATGATTACTAATAAATAAACTACCAATAGGTTTTTATTTAAATATTTTCTTTTTAATTTTTTAGAAATCTTGTTCAAATTCTTCAATTCATTGTTTATGGTTTCTTAATAAAAAAACACATTGGCTTTAAATCAATGAGAAAACATTTAAAGGAAGTTTGTATGCATGTGTGGATCCTCGGACTTTTTGTTTAAGTACTATTAAAGTCATTGTGGTACCGTTCCCTGCATACGAGGAGTGGTGTGGAACCGGTTCGACGCCTACCTCAAATCGAAAAAACGACCTTCTTAACGGATATTTATTATGTTTAGGCCCGATGTCTCGAAGTAGACATTGAAGTCCAGTCAGGCTTAGAGAGGCTTTCACTGACGCGTGGCGAATTTATACAAAAGTCAGCAGTAGTAAATCGAATTAAACGGACCATTATATGTTTTGTTACTCGTGAAGCGTGAGCAGATATTTTTCTTTAAAATATTACTTTTTACGGTGTTTTTAATAATTGGTAGTCACTTTCTTTAACTTTTTAACGCATGAAAGACGTCGAATTTTTTATTATGCCGCTACTGTCTTGGTCTTCAATAAATGTACAAATGTCTTGGACATATTGTCACAAGTTTACCTAATTTTTTAAATTTGTTACCATCTGTGCAAATTATATACTTTATGTACTGAAATTCAATATTATTTATTATAAAGCATTAACTGGTCAAGCGGACCACGAAATTAGTGAATTATTTATTATTCCATTTATGTTTTAATGGTCAATTGACCGAGGAGTTACTTCTTTCAATTGATTATTCTTTTTATGTTAGGTATTGGTTGATGTCAAAAAAATCAGTGTCACGAGCGGGATTCGAAGAAAGGAGTCAGTGTCTGAGAGGATCGAAATCACGATAGCTCAAGTGGTAGAGCGGCGGCTTATTGAGTCGAAGGTCGTGGGTTCGAATCCTGCTCGTGCACTGACTTTTTAATCTCAACCAAGACCTTACATAAAAAGAATAATTATTTATTATTTGCATAGTTCCTGAGCGGAGCCAGGCAACTGACTTGTTCTCCCATCTTTCTGAATAGTTAATTATGCGCTATTCGCAAGGAGGTCCCGGGGCCATCTCCGCTTCAGTCGCCTTACTGGTTTGTTGGGATGGATAATGTTGGACATCGGGCTAATGTGTTACACTGGATTGGGACTGTATTCTTTGGATGTTCGAAGGTTTAGCCCCACTTACATAATTAAAAAAAAGAAATTTTATACTGGAACAAATAAGCTATAGAAATATTCATTGACTTGACCATAAAACCTTATGTTTCAACACTTTTTATTTGCCTTTTTAATGCGTTTTTCTGTTTTTCTTCCACAATCGTAAAGATTAAGTGCTGTCGATATTGCATGGAGAAAGAGAGAGTAAATCAGAATGGGCTTACATAAAAATATATTTTCCTTTAATGACATTCACGATTTTCACTTTCTTTATAAATTTTGTGGTGTTCGTATCGGTGGTGATGGGAATATCGGTCAATGGTTGTTTTGGAAAGAAAACGACTAAGAATCTTTGCCGACGTTTCGATTTAATTCAAATCTTTATCAAGGCATCCTGTATATACAGGGTGAATTGCTACTCGTGCTACAAACTTCTCCAGTAGATTCTTCACCCTAAAATGAACAAAAAAGTTCATATTGTCCATGGTCCGATTCTCAACCATTTCAGAGTAATTTCGCTTTTTATCGATTTTGAAAGATATCACGTCCTGGCGTCGGAAAATCGTGATATCTTTTAATCTAAACATTTCTCTTAAAATCTATAAGCACCGTTGAAATCCCCGTTAATTTTTAGAGAGAATCAAAATCATAATTCCATTGAAATTTTTTAATTTAATTTAATGCCCATTTAGTATGTAATGCTTAAGAAGTTTACAAACAGCTAGAAGGTCAAGGAAGAAAGACCCAAACGTTTTGCCACCTTCATCTTCTTATTGAAAAATTAACGGGGATTTCAACGGTGCTTATAGATTTTAAGAGAAATGTTTAGATTAAAAGATATCACGATTTTCCGACGCCAGGACGTGATATCTTTCAAAATCGATAAAAAGCGAAATTACTCTGAAATGGTTGAGAATCGGACCATGGTCAATATGAACTTTTTTGTTCATTTTAGGGTCAAGAATCTACTGGTGAAGTTTGTAGCACGAGTAGCAAGTCACTCTCAAACATTAGCAATCCTTGAACCACCATTTTTTCTCTTTTTGTCATCAACATCTTGGTCTCACAACCACTAAATAAGAAAATGACGAGTGCGTTGGAAGCGTTATTAAATCAGGTAGTTTTCCTCAAATTTGCTGCCTTCTGAGACTAAAATTAGAAACTCTGGATTACTTTATACACTTTCCGATTTACACAATTTTCCACTCTTTTTGTAGTTCTGGCTGAAATAAAACACAAAAAATTAGCCCAAACATTTTGCCACCGTCATCTTCTTATTGAAAAATTAACGGGAATTTCAACGGTGCTATTAGATTTTCAGAGAAATGTTTAGATTAAAAGATATCACGATTTTCCGACGCCAGGACGTGATATCTTTCAAAATCGATAAAAAGCGAAATTACTCTGAAATGGTTGAGAATCGGACCATGGACAATATGAACTTTTTTGTTCATTTTAGGGTGAAGAATCTACTGGAGAAGTTTGTAGCACGAGTAGCAATTCACCCTGTATATATATATATATATATAGTATATTATTTATTATTACAGAATACATATATATTATGTATAAGAAGGCAAAAAACTTAACTTACCGCTTGATCTCTAAGTGTTATCTTTTTTATTTATGTTTTATTTTTTTATCAATTGGCAAATGTCCCATGTCAGTGTTCTACTTAACTGGTTGCTACCACTAGGGGAACTGCGCGGTCAGGAGCAAGCTTAACCTCCGTCAGGGTTACCCTCTCACAGTGTCCTCACCTCGTACTTCACAGATTACCCTTATCTTATATTTACAATTAACTTGTTTCTATATATAAGTGTATCTTTTAACGTTGTTGATTTATGAGGCTATGGTAGCAATCATTTATGAACTGGGAATCTTGTTTGTAATTGATAGACCGTGAGTCGCTTTTTATAAAAATGGCCTCTAGGAATTTGCGTTTTTTTTTCATGATTTTTATTCTATCAAAATTTATTTTGTGTCCCAAAGACAAGGAAAGTCAAGCGGTAAGTTAAGTTTTTTGCCTTTATGTATATAATATATATGTAATTCTTTAATAATAAATAATAATGTAATAATATACTATATATGTGCAGGATGTCTTTGAATTAAATCGAAACGTCGGCAAAGATTTGAAGTCGTTTTTTTTCCAAAACATCGATTGACCGATATCCCCATCACCACCGAACCACAATTTTATTCAACCGTCATCACAAGTTACATTTATAAATTTTGTTGTTGAAAAGAGATAAATTGGACATTTTTAAACAGTTCCAAGCGATAAAAACGACATAAGTCACTTATTTTATTGAA